TTTGTGAAATATATGAAAGAATATAATAATACAGAATGTAACTTAATATCAATAGTTTCTCAGTTTTCTGACTGTATTTCAAAAATATCTTAAGGTTTAAAATGATTTTCACGCTAAGAAGTTAAGATAATTTATATGATTTATGAGTTGATAGTAATGGAAAACATGTGTATATACTGCGGGTCCTGACATCCGATCATTTATTTATTGCATCAATCTTTGGGAGTAACAGAAATCGGTGACTAATAGCCAGTTCTGTCAATTCCACTCAATTACTTACTTCTCATTTGTTTATTTACAAAAACCCTTAATTATGTATAAATTCTTGAATATTACACTATATGTATATATTCCCTCATACAGTGTATCATTTGACTGTTGAATTTATTTTTAAAAATCTAGAATATTGTCAAGAATTTGAATAATTTTTCATGAGATGAAAATTAAACTATTTCTTGTAATTAATAGAATTAAATGAATATAAATAGAATTGAAATAGTTTTGGTTAAAACTTGTCAAATACTTTGTGTGATGTGTACGGACTGGTAGGGCACACATACGGTCCCCGGTCGGGCAAAACCAAGAAAGCCATTCGAGACATCGATCACATCATTGAAGACTTGTATATCTGGATCGAGGCCTACAAACTGGAGCACAAATTGAATGTAGTGATCGTCTCAGACCACGGAATGATCTCAAAAGCAAACTCCAAAGTCATACACATTGAAGACATTCTTGACTTTAATGACATCGAGCTATTCCTCGGCGAGGGATCCCTTTCGCAGATATTGCCTGAGGATGGCAAAGAAGACGAGGTTTTTATTTTTTATTTTACTGCAAACTGTTTCAGTACACTCATACACTGTACAGTAGTTTTACTTAAAAGTTTAATTTTAGAATACTGTATTATGCTTGAATAAAAAATACTGTATGAACAACACTTTAATAGTAATTTACTTTTAAAAATTAATTGTTTAATCATAGGTTTATCAACAATTAAGACAAGCAGATGTCAAAGGTCTTAATGTGTATAAAAAGGCTAATATTCCTGAAAAGTTTCACTTTAGAAACAATAAAAATGTTTTACCAATTCTTCTGACCACTGATGAGGGATATCTCATACAAGCTGTTAGTATTTTTATGAATTACAATCAAAATTAATCATATTTTTACCAATCAATAACAGTAATAAATGTTTGCAAATCATTTATAGCCGCGAATCAAATCCAAAGTATATCCTGATTATGAAAGGACTACAGATAATGAGCCCAAAGGTGGTGGTCATGGTTTTGATCCCGAATATGTGGAGGAAATGCGTGCCATTATGTATGGATTCGGACCGGCATTTAGAAAGAATTATACCTCAGAACCGTTAGAAATGGTCGATCACTACAACCTATTCTGCAATTTGGTTGGAATTCCTGTCAATCCTAACAATGGAAGTGAAGACAGAGTGGAAAAACTCCTCAAAGAGGCGGAAGACGACGAAAATAGCGATGAAAGCGATTACGACTCAGACGATGATGACAAAGATGACAGCGATGGCGATGGCGTCCCTCACCTTACGTTACATTCAATCCTTATTTATACGATTTTTCTCACAACTATTATCTCATCATTTTAGTGACAATCTCTTAAATTAGTCATAGTTTATATAAATAGCGTTTTGATTAAAAATATTTACAAATTATAATAAAATGGATAAATTAATTATGAAATCATTTGAAAAGTTAACATTGTTTTGTACGGATTCTTATAATTAATAAGTTTGCTTTGAAATCAATTGTTTTATTAAAAATGATTTTCATTCAACATTTGAATTCAATCTCAAATGAAGCAGAACTGACACCTGAGCTGCTAATTAGTGATATATAAAACGGTGGTTCCGCTCAGTTGTCAATACAGATTCAATTATGTATACATCGATTGCAAGCAATTATGGAGCGCTTCCAGAGATAAATTCTTGAGAATCGGTAACAGAATATATTATTTTCAACTTAAAATTGCAATTATATTAAACGCCTTATCAGTTGGCATTCAAAATAAATATCGAAAACTCGTAAAACTACTGTTAAAACAAGNGAGCGCTTCCAGAGATAAATTCTTGAGAATCGGTAACAGAATATATTATTTTCAACTTAAAATTGCAATTATATTAAACGCCTTATCAGTTGGCATTCAAAATAAATATCGAAAACTCGTAAAACTACTGTTAAAACAAGTGGTTACGAGAGGGTTGGCTCTAATTTGATAACAAAATTTGGTTTCATTTCTTTATGCAAATAATTGGTTTCATCGATAGTGAACGAGTGTTGGGTGTCGTCGTCGGACAAATCGATGCTTTCCTGGCCGTCAAAGTCAGTCAGAATGGAGAGATCAGGTCTGGTCTCGAGCTCTTCCACACTCTGATTGCTGTGATTCGAGTAAATACTGGTTTCCGACATAAAGTGAAACGAGTTTTGGTTATTCAGCGAATGGTGGGGCAGTTGCGGAGCGCCGGAGCCCTGACTGAGCGGAAGGCGTTTACTTTTGGCCTCTTTTCGCTTATTATTGAACCAATTGCTGACCACAGAGAGCGTCACTTTGTCTCTCTCTTTGAGCGCTCTCTTCGTCATCCGTTCTACACATGCATTGCACTCATCGGCGATCTGCTCTTTGGTGGCGGAGTCCGGGTATGCGTTGTCTTTGAAATACTTGTCCAAAACCATGAGGTGTTCCCTTCTGAATATGAACCGATCCCTTCTGATGGGCAACAGGTCTCCCAATT